TTGGCTCTATAAAAGTTACTCTAGCATGACTATATAACTTAAGCTCCCAAAAAAGTGTATGTATCAAACAGACAACCATCAGTTAATGTCGCTCCGTCCGAAATATGTTCGAAATCCGCACATGACCTCGATGCTTAGTTTTTGCGACTAAGGTTTTTTTGACTTACCTTACGGGCCTATGCTTAAGTGACTGTATGAAAGGTCTGACGGGCCTTTGATACTTGTTGATGAGCTTGAATTTGCTTGACAAAAGAATCAAATATTCACTTGATCATTATGACAAATGACATGACAGAAGATGAAGTTTGTTTTTTACAAAACTAACCTAACCTAGGTGTTTGCGTGAGGTGGGGCGTGCATTTCCAAGTGTATAAGGCCATCACACACCCCATGTTAGTGTTCTTTTCATTACCAAGAAATTCGTCTTATATATAAATAAGAATATTTTGATTTTTGTGGGGGCAATAAAGCTACCAGCAATAAATGATGATTGAGCCACCTCTTCAAAAATTTTTCTTCTTGTTGATGTTAAGTCCCTAAAAAAAATTTAAAAACTAAGAGCACTGTTACATTTCAATCATAATTTATAAATGACTTCAAAATTTGTATCCATTTAGACCATGCTTCTACAAATTATTTTACGTATTAGTTCGATAAGTATCAGTTGCATGAAAGGTACATACAGCACCAATTTACGACATACAAAATAAGCATCATAAATGAGGTAACAACTTCCTTGACGTTTCAGATGTTTCAGAATATATTGCCAATTTTATTCCTTACCAAGGAGTTTTAACATTTTCACAACTAGAGGACACTACTAATCAAATTTCTGAAAAAGAAAAATACTTGGTTGTTAGTGCATCTTCAGTAATTGCACTATGTAAAACATCGTAAGATCTGCAGAATTCAATAATTTTTTGTTTTGCGATTATTTCATTACTTGAAGGAAAAGTACAATATCCTTAGCTTGGACACTATTCCCGTGTATATGAATACTAAAAAGACGTTGCTACAACTGGCTAGTAGGATGTTAATTACTATTTAAAATACGTTTATTGACGTTTTAATTTCCACTTCGGAAATCGTTCTCAAAATACAAACAGTAAATTAAACAAATTTTGTTTTTTGTTACATAGCGAAAAATTCTTTTAATAATTTAATTTTATCTGACTCATTTATATTGACAATTCAGACATAAATTATGCATTTTAAAGTAGACGACTTTAAAATGATATTGCCAATATTGTTAAGTTGCGCTCCTGGGACGACTTTACTTATAAGATAGTTCATTCGATTACATGAAATCAACTTTAACTTGAGAATATCCGTCAGAAAAAAATCATAGCATGTAAATCATCTTTAAAAAAACAAACACATGACATGATGACAGCAAAATTCTTCTGTTAGTGATTCCATAGTAAATTATGAGGGAAAAACCAGGAAAAAAACCTTATAATACTATCCCGACATTGTAAGTATTTGTTCGTGAATTTAGTTTACCTTCAACAAACATCAAAATTCTGATTTTATATGTTACGTTATTTAAAAAAACATAAATGATGTATCCCCTATATGTTACTGACTTACTAATACTAATATTTTCTTATTAATAACTTCCTCTTTCAATATTGGTAACCAGATCCTACTACATTCTGCCGAGGAATTTGCGACACAATTGGCCTCATTTAGCATAATTAGAGCCGCTTCTTTGATTTTTCTTTTTTTACCATCAGTTTCTTTTAGGAATACATTTGAGTTATTTCATTGAACCCTATGTTCATTATCCTATACGTGTTTACGTATTTGAGATCTATCAAATTCTCTATTTTTATTATAAGATTGATGTTCACTTATTCTAACATTTAATGGCCTTGATGATTCACCTAAATAAAACTAACAATGAACAAGAAAGGACAAATAATTGCATTTATAAAATACCTTGTGAATGCGATCAGTTCGTACGTTCGTACCAAGGTAGGTGTATATTTTTACTCTTTCTATTTGTTGACGGTTTACACTGATTTGTCCAAATTGCTGTTCCTTCTTAGAGATCATCATGCATTTTGTTTTCTTAGTGTTTAGTGAAAATCCGTATCTCTGCCTGACCTCTGTGATTCTGTTCATTAACTCCTGGAGGGTTTCAGAACTGTCAGCGAATACTACCGTGTCGTTCGTGTATCTAATGTTATTGATAGATTCTCCGTTGATTCGAACTCCGGCTTCAACATCACCCACTGCTTCTTGAAAGATTTCCTCAGAGTATATGTTAAACAGCAGTGGTGATAGTATACATCCCTGACGGACGCCACGTTTGATTTTGATATCGTCGGATTCTCCTGCCTCTGTCCGTACAGATGATGTTTGATTAAAGTACATATTGCTGACAATTCTTAAATCATAGGTGTTTATTCCAATATTGGTTAATATCTCCATCAGCTTGTCGTGTTTTGCTGTATCGAACGCTTTATGGTAGTCAATGAAGCACGCATAAATGTCGCAGTTCACGTCTCTACATCGTTGAAATAGCACTTGTATACTAAATAGAGACATCAGTAACACTCAGATGGGATTCAGGAAAGGGCTGGGTACAAGGGAGGCTCTGTATGCAATGAACGTTCTCTCACAGAGATGCTTAGACATGAACCAAGAAATTTACGCCTGATTTATTGATTTCGAAAAGGCCTTTGACAAAGTACAACATGAACCACTAAGACAAGTTCTAATAAAGAAAAATATAGATAGCCGAGATATTCGAATTATATGCAATCTATATTGGAATCAAACAGCAAATGTCAAGGTTGAGGGCAGACTAACAGAAGAAATTCAAATCCGTCGAGAAGTCCGGTAGGGATGTATCTTATCGCCACTTTTATTTAATCTGTATAGTGAAGCTATCTGTGAACAAGCACTCGAGGAAGAAGATCTTGGTCTGATAATAAATGGTGAGACGATGAACAATATAAGGTATGCTGACGATACAGTTCTCCTAACGGGAACGCTAACATCTCGTTCAAAGTCTTAATATATACTGTAACAGTTACGACTTGAAAATTAATTTGAAAAAAACTAAATTTATGGTAATCAAGAAATCAAAGAAGATCAGAGCTAATCTTGTAATAGACAATACAACGATTGAGCGTGTGCCCTGTTATAAATATCTAGGTGCTTGGATCACAGATACTGATCAAACAAAAGAGATTAGATGTAGAATAGAAATCGCTAGATCAGTCTTTAATAGAATGCGCAAACTCTTTTCCAATCGTGATATCAATATAAAGTTACGAATACGAATGCTGCGGTGTTATGTCTTTTCTACCCTGTTATATGGAGTTGAGGCTTGGACACTAAAACAGTTGACCATAAAAAACACCGAAGCTTTCGAGATGTGGTGCTATAGGCGCATTCTCAGAATATCATGGATGGACCGCGTCACTAACACTCAAGTACTTTAAACTTTAGACAAAAGATGCGAAATTCTAAATGAGATAAAAACTAGAAAGATGGAATACTTGGGGCACATTGTGAGAGGTGAAAAGTACGAACTTTTAAGAAACATCATGCAGGGCAAAATTAAGGGCAAAAGAAGTGTGGGAAGAAGAAAAATATCGTGGTTTCGTAATCTACGTGAATGGTTCGGGTGTAGTTCGATTGAACTTTTTAGGCACGCTGCTAACAAAGTCGCAGTGGCCATGATGATTTCCAATCTCCGCTAGGAGTGGCTAGAGAAGAAGAAGAACTAAATAGAGCCTCTCTCGTACCCACTGCATTCCGAAAATCATACTGTGTACGGCTGATTTTTTCTTCGCACAGTCTATATATCCTTTGATGTATGATTTTTAGAAATAATTTTAGAATATACGCTGCAAGATACGGATTTTGTTTTCTTTGGTAAAGCAATAAAGGTCGACTTCAGCCATGTTCTTGGTATTACTCTGCTTAAATATATGTCATTAAATACTTTTGTTAGGTATTAAATACCGTCGGTGTTAAATAGTTTTATGAGTTCAGCATATGCATTGTCAGGTCCAGGAGCTTTGCCATCTTTTAGTTGTAATATTGCTTTTTCCACTTCATCTGATGTGACTGGTAAGTGGTCATCACATATGTAGGATGGAGGTTGTTCGGATCTAGTATCATCAAAGAGTTCTTGTATGTATTTTGTCCATATGCGGATTTATTGATTTTTGTCTGTGACAATATTCCCCTGTTGGTCTCGCAGTTTGTTAGCTGTGTTGGATTTCTGAAGACCAGTTGCTTGTTTCACCTTTTTATGCATATTTAACGTATCATGTTTTTGTTCTAACCACTCTATCTCTTCACACTGTGATTTTAACCAATTTTCTTTGGCCTTTCGTATTTTGGTTCTTATTTGTCTCTGAATCTTGTTGTACATTGTTTTATTTTTTATTTTTTTTTATTTTTTATTAATTATTTTTATTTTATGATTCACTATTAGCGAATAATTGTAAATTTTAGTCAAGCCTCTTGTCAAACAATATAAGCTTAGAAATACTATATATAAGCTTAGAAGCACGAATATTAAATTGCAAAACAAATTTCCTTATTTATTTGTATATCTTCCAAGAACGACGAGTATTTTTTGACATTTGGTACCTGATTAAACGATTAATATTTACAAAAATTAATCAACATTCTTTTAAATAACCAAATAGTGGACATGATGATAGACATATCTATTAAATTCCAAATTAAAATATTAACATATCGAGAGCACACCTCACGACAAAAACAATGGACCTACTAAACTTGACATATACACTGGAGGACGGGCGTGGCCTTTGAGAAACCAGCGGGACAACCTACACCCGATGCGGAACACTAGATGTGGATTGACGATGCAACTTCAACTTTTTTTTTGAGGAACCGGTAAAATATCGAAGAGTGCGTGAGGAAAAGAAGTGACACCCTCATATAAATAGGAGACCACGACTGCTAATCATCACAATATTTCTGCGTCTCAAAGCGTACAGTACAACATGGCTTTCAAGGTAAATATACACCAAAAGATTTTATTTTCTTATCTTATTATTATTTTCTGACACTATTATAACTCTAAACTTAGCTTGTCTGATCATGTTTTTCTTTCCAGTTCTATTTTTCTCCAAATAATTTTATTATTTAGATGTGTACTTTTTAAATTTTTGTTGTAAAAGACTTTTTTTATTTTTCTAAAACTGCTATATTCATTCAACATACTAAATTCAACATAATACAATTATTTTTTAAATATTTTTTGGTAGTAAAATCTTATTATTCTTTTTATGTTTTATTATTGATGTGGCCTGATCTTTATAACATGAACAAGCCCTGTTGAATTTCATTCTTACTGTAATTTTATTTTGATATTTTCTTTATTTATTTTTCATCTTCTTTAAATTTCATTTCTCTTAAAGAGATATGCGATTATGATGTTCACTATAGCATTCAAAAAAGCTATTCTAAAGAGTTGTTTTGATTTACAACTATACCGTACTTATACCGTTCGCTTAGGATTCTCAGCCAAAATATTCTCCAGGTACACTTCATCTGCTCTCTATTTTATCATAGATTATGAGACAAGGCATTATATTGTTCTCCACGCATTATATGTCCCAAATATTTTCTCTTCTCTTATTATTTCTTCAATTTCTTTTTATTGTTTCGTTCTTCTTAATGTTCGTAACGTGATCCATCAATATTTGTTCTCATTCGTTTCCAATCATTCGACCCACAGTGGTTCCTTAGTGGCTAGCTACTAGGCAACCTTTTTAATTTTTTTGTCGTTATTACCATTATTTATTATTGCCACATGTCGAACTTGTTCCATTTTAGTTTGAAAATTTGTTCTAATGTCTAATGTTATGCTTATTTGATTTTTTGTTATGTTTCCTTGATTATAATTCTATTCATGACTTCTAGCATCCTTTAGTACTATTCACATCGAATTTTATAACAACGGCTTTTTTTCCTATATCGTTTACGAAATTTAAATGGTTGGAACAATTCGTACCATTTTATTTGATCTTTTCTATTATTAATTACATTTTTTGCTTTGCTTCCCAGTTTTATGTAACTCACCTACTTTTTGAGTTTGTTAAAATACATTTTTATTTTAGCTGTAAAAATCAATCAAAAATCATTTTCTCATTTTAGTGTACATTAAATTTTCATTTAATTGTTACAAAAGTGGCAGTAATAGCAGCATTATTGATTTCGAATATATACTTTAATTATGCCGTCCAATTTTGTAAATATTTAAAAAAAATCAATGTTTTAAATGGATAAAACTGTAACTTTAATTTTATCGATTTTTTTATACTTTTGCCTACTTTTATCCAGAAAATAATTAACTTTCGTTAGTTAGTTTTGTTTAGATATTACACAAATACTAAAAATAGTATTTTTTTAAAATATCATCATCATCATGAGCCCATAGTCATCCACTGCTGAACATAGGCCTCCTCGAAAAACTTCCATTCAGATCTATCTTGAGCTGCTGCAATTCAGTTGGTATAACTCCTCTTTATGTCGTCAGTCCATCTTGTGGATGGTTTTCCCGGGTTTCGTCTATTCGCTCTCGGTCTATACTCCAAGATTTTTTTGGTCCACCTATTATCCTTAATTCTAGCGACATCTCCTGTCCACCTCCATTTAATTTTGGCTACGTGTTTTATAATGTCTTTTACACCACTTTTTCTATGAATTTCTTCGTTTCTTACCCTATCTCGCAACGTTATGTCTAACAATAATTTTTCCATTCTACGTTGCGTCACTTGTAGTTTTCGTGTTGATCTACTTGTTAGAGTAAGTGTCTCTACGCCATATGTAAGAACAGGTCATCTTATTTTTGGCAAATGCCGGTTTCGATATCCTTTTCTAATGTGATTTATAATTGTTGTCTTACGACCAATCTAAAAAATATTTTTTAATTACATCGATACCTATGGTTATTAGCCGTGTGTTTTTTTTTTTCTAAATTAGAAATAAGTTTTTTACACAGCAGTTTTAAAAATTCAAACATTTTGCGAAATCGTATAGTTTGTTACACAGTTTAGAACCTCTGAGAAAGTTTATTGTTTCTGTTAAGGATTTTTTCAGATTTATTTGCTCTGTTAATCTTGGTGTTGAGTACACTTGACAGTCTAGTTATATGTTGCAGTTACACTGGCATTTGAAAGTTATCAAAAATCGGCTGAAGGTGCTTCGAGATAGTGTATCCATTTGTAAATTTTCTATGACCTAGCCGCAGTGTGTTGAGGACTACTTTTTAGTTTTCTTCTGTTCGGCTCCATTTTTCTTGCCAGGTTTTATTAATGTAGGCTTTTATTATTGTTTTTTGGTCTTAAAATGGTATGTTTTGCATTAAAGGGATTGCCATGTTATTGATAGTTTTTGCTGCTGCTTTATCAGCGGCTTCATTACCCATTATACCAACACGGGATAATAACCATAAGAATCTTTGTATTTGTCACGTGTTTGGGCATTGCATAACATGTCTTTTATTGGTGCTAAATAGGCATAAGTAGGACACATCTGCTTGAAATGATTTAAGGCACTCAGAGAATTGGATAAAATAAGAAAATTTATTTCGTTGCTCGTATATTGGTTTAGCGCGTTGGACATTGCTTGCAGTTCTCACGTATGTATGCTACACTCCTTGGCTAAAAACTGACGCGAGGTTTATTCTGTGTTCGCATGATTTAATAAGTTTATTTATTTGCGATGTTCATTTGAGCTAAAAGTCGAATGTCGTTTCCAAAAATTTGATTACGGTAATAGGTGTAAGAGTGTGTCCATTCAAATTTAAATTTAAGTTGTGTAATGTTTTTCTTTCATTGAATAAAATTACCAAGATTTTTGGTTGAAAATCTCAAGCCTGTATCTAATGTCCACCTTTATATTTATATAATAGGGCCGATTGTTCGAAAGCTAATAAAAGCTTGATTGTAACCAAATATTTAATTACAATCAAATACGTCACATCAGCTGTCAAAATTATTAAAGATTACTTATTACTATTATTGATTTGTAAATAAATATAAAAAAGTGATTTGTAAATATTAAAATTGAATAAAATAAATCAGTCAACATAACCTCAAAATGTGAAGTATTTGATTTTAATTTAATATTTGATGACAATCAAGTTTTGATTAGCGTTCGAACAATCTGTTCTTAATATTTTTTGTACTATTAATGCAGCTGATTTCAGATTTTTACTTATCATATATATTAGAAGATCACACGCGTAAATATCTGCTTTTATTGGAAGCAAAAAATTGTTAAATACGTTATTTATTGCTATTAAAAATACCAGGGGGCTTAAGAGAGATCCTTAAGAGACGTCATTGCTCAATTATTTTGTACTTGATATGACACCGTTTGTTATACCTTTTATACTTCTATTCTCCAGGAAGTTGTTGGTAAAGGCTAGAAATTTTTTTATCTTCTTTTTCCAGCTTTTCATAGATTTCAAGATATGATATGTCCACATGGTGTCAAACGCTTTTGCGATATTAAAGCAATTTGCTAAAAATTTGTGTTAATATAAAGGCTTTATATATTTAAGATTCTCGTGCTTTGATATTATCTTTTGTAGACCGTTTTGATCGGTATCCACTTTTCGATAGATATAAGAAGTTTTTTATTTTCTAATTACTATTTCAATCTTTTACTTTGAATCCTTGCCATCATTTTACAAATGCTACAGTCAACACAAAATATTTTGTCATCTTTTCCACTTTTGTTCTCGAAGTGTTTGCTGTGGCATCTTAAATTTCCCCCAATATCTAGTTGCAAATAAACCATTTCCTAAACATCTGAACTAAAAGGGATCTTTCAACTTTATATTTCGGCATAGAAATGCCTTTCGTAGGTTGTTTTAAAATATAGCGTAAAAAGAAAAAATATTTCATGTTAATAAGTTAGAAATAAAACAAACCAATCCTTACCATACAATAATCTTATATGCCTCACTTGTAAAGTGCTTTTCTGGGACCATTTTATAGAAGGATTGTTTACTTGATTATAGTAAGTCAAGCTGAACTCAAAAGTATTAAGAAGCATGCATTTGGTTTTTATTATTACTACCTATTATCAAATTCTTTATTAAATTTGTATTCTATTTGTTTTTGTCATAGGAATTTTCATAGTGTTTTAAAGCAGTGTACAAAGGTTCTTCTTGATACAAGGAAGATTTCTTTTGACTTTGGTCAAGAGGTTTTCTTTTTTAATTGAAGGATAAGGAGTAGAGTTTTAAAACTTGTTACAAATATTTTTTTATGTGTAACAAACTGCATTAAATGTTGAGTTAAGAAATTTAATTTTTTTATCACATTTTTTTTAAGACAAATTTATATAGTTTTGGAATTTGAGACATTCCTTTGAATTTGAAGATCCTTTTTGATGTAAAAATAACTGAATTTTGGATTAATGGCCCTTTTCACTTATTTCTATATATATATAGCTGGGTATAAAGGTTCCTGGTGATGGAAGGAAGAAACCTTTTGTCTTTGTATCAACAGTTTTTCTTTTTTTATTGTGCGAATATGAGTAGAGTTTTAAAACTTGGTGCAAATATTTTCCTGAGCATCTAAATAACTCCATTGAAATCATGAATTTGTTGCTTGTGTGAGTCCATTTCAAATAGGCAAAGAAATAATAAATCAGACTTACTCACAATCAATTTAATTTAACTATCCGACGACCGGTTTCGCTTTCTACAATATGCAAAGCATCTTAAGGTCTCGGTACAAAGTTAAACAAATTTAAAAGTTAAACAAATTTGTTTAACTTTGTACCGAGACCTGAAGATGCTTTGCATATTGTAGAAAGCGAAACCGGTCGTCGGATAGTAAAATTAAATTGATTGTGAGTAAGTCTGATTTATTATTTCTTTACCTAACTCCATTGAATTTGGTACATAGATTGTTTTTTATGTAAATATTATGTTTATATTTTTTATGTTAATGGCCCATCTTCTTCTTGTACACCCATTCATTTTACTAAGAACTCAGGTATATCATATATTTTTTTTGTTTATAGAATTTTTAGTTATTATCTCTTCGTCTTCGTATATTCCTACACATTTTCCTGAAAGAAAAGTCCAAATGCCTTAAAACGTTATACCCACATAGATTACACCATGGTAATGATTTTTTGTAAACCGATTGTGAACATAACTATTGTCAATAAGACTGCTATTCTAGATCTTTCAAAATACGTTTTGGAATCAAATTCAATCACATGTTTTAAACACGCCCTAAAGTTTTACCATTCTTAATATAAAAAAAAATTAAAAAACTATGAATCTTTTATTCAATTTAATTGGTCTTTTATATGCAATATCCTCAATTATTTGTCAGTTGGCAGGTTTTATTTTATTATCCAAAACCAATCTCCGAAATAACATTCCTAAAGAATTTAACGATACATTTCTACCATTTACGTTTAACATCCACATAAATCTTCGGCGCACCACTAAAAGATCGATGTGACCTTTAAATACAGTAATATTAGCATAAATAAATATTCTTTTACTACACTCATTAATAAAATTGAAGCAATGTCAATGTGGGTAAAAAATTTTAAAATATTTGCTCTGGTATTTATTAATTGTTTATTTAAATAAACAAATTGCTTTAATGCAGAGGAAGATATTTGAATACGATCAAGGTTCAGATGGTATTTCCTGCTTAAAATTAGCATATTGATGGATACTAAAAAATCGGTTTCACTTTTAATTTTAGCGCATTATTTTTTTATAATTTACTATATTACTATAATTTTAAAATTCTATATGGTAATTATGTTGAAAATAATGACATTTTCTAGATGTTTTTCTGATAGAACTATTACTCTCCTTTAACTTTACAGCGGTTTCATCATGTTTCAGCCCCTTCTCATTTATTTTCTTTGACTGACAAGAATGACATGCTTTTATTATTAATACCATTTCATATTTTTAAAAGTTTAATATACATCGCAAAAAATGGTGCTTACCAATGATTTAGTATAATCTATACTGAATGAATGAAGGTTTCACATATTCTTTCTAGCTCATTTGTACATCCTTATTCTTTGTCTCAAAAATTCTGCATCTAAACATATTCGCTTTCTGCAAATAAATCCAATATTCTGTTTTAGCATATTTCCGCATAATTTATTGGTGAATTTTGTTCAGAATAAATATCTGTGGGTAACAGAGAGTCTACAACGTTTTTAGCATAAGCTACACTGTCTGTAGCAATTCTGAAGAGTTGTATTGTTGTTTTTTTACTCCATTGGTTAAAATTTTTCAACTATCATCTCCCCAGTCCTCTTTTTCCTTTCACTTTTCCTCTTATAACTAATAGCATACTCATAAATTTATTTCTTAATACAAGACCACAGTAGCTCATTTTCTTTTTTTTTCTAGTTGATTATTTTTTTTTCTTTTTCATCTTTCTTAATGTTTTCCTGTTTGTTAAATGCTGTATACATGATCGCTTCTTCCTTTTCAGAGGTTGCTTTTCCTTACCGTTTTTCGCCACTAGTCCTCTGCCAGGCAGTTGTTCATCTTCTTCTATGTTGTCATGCCATTGTAGACTTTGTTCTTGGATTTGATTTAAGACTGTAGCTGTAGTCACCTTGGCTCTTTCCCTAATCAAGTCGTTCTTGATTCTGTCCTTTGTAGTCCCACTCAACATCCACCGCAAAATTTTCATTACAGCTACCTCCATCTTCTTCTCCTGTATTCCTTTTACAAACGCATGCCTCACCACACTTTTGTATATCTTTTCCTCCAGCCATTTCCTGATTTTTTGACCAAAGAGTACCTTGCTCATTTGATTCTAGTTAATCTATCCTGCCTGTAGCATGTGGGCAATTTCTCTCTCCAGAATTCTATTTTCCGGTATGTAGAAGCCAAGGTTTTTAAATTATTTAGTTCATTCCAGTTTTTCTTCAAGCAATTCGACCTCCCCAAGAATTCCTTCTTGTTTCAGCTAGATATTTTTGTTTTCTATCTGACAACCTTAGTCCTTTATCTTAAATAGCCCTTCTTCAGCTCTTTTGCTCCAATATTTCTTTGCTGTTTTTCACATACACGATATTATTTGTAAAGAGCACCGACCAAGGAGCCTTCTCCCTTACCTTCTCGCTCAGTATATTCATAACAAGGGACTAGTGTAGAGCCTTGATGCAAACTATCAGTCACTGGAAAACTTTTGGTCAATCCAATACAAGTCGTTGCTTTACTGTTAGCTTTCCCACACATATGCTTCACGAATTTTACGTTCTTCTTAGGAACCCATTTTTTTCTACATTGCTATAGCTGTTGTCTAGAAACTGATCTGTCTTCTTAAGATCTACAAATACAAAATAAAGCTCTTCTGGTTTCTTGCCGTATTTCTTTATCAATTGTCTTGAAGGAAACAATGCATCCGTTGTCCTTGTTCCTAAAATAAACCCAAACTGTTCTTCTCATATCAATTTTTGCTTCTTCAACCTTCGTTATACAGTTATCTCCTAAATTTTCATTGTTTGCGACAATAACTTTATAACTCTATAGTTCTTACAGTTCTAGATACTCCTACAGTCCTTTATATTTATAGAGTGATACCATCAAACTCTCTGTCTATTTATTGGAAATCCTTTCTTCCTCATATATCCTACTGATTATTTGCCACAAAACATCAACATCTTTTTTATTAGAGCCTACCAAACCTCCACAGGTATCTCCAGGCATTTCCATTTCTGTTATTTTTTTATTAACCAACATGTAGTATCCTTCATCATGGTATTTTGTTATACATTGTCCTAAAAATTTTTGTTCCAGTTTTATTGAAAAATTTCTTATTAAGATTTAAGCCTTATTCTTCAAGCGCCTCTCTTTAATGTTTTAGTCCTATTACAAATTCGTTTTTAGTGTTTCCTACAAAAGCCATATCACTAATATACACTAAATACAAAGAAATGTCGCTTTGATATATTCCTCTCATAATCTTCATACAATTACCAGAAACTTCATTCTCCAAGTATAATACTATACGGTTTTTTCTCCAAGTATCATATTTTTTTTTTCGTATATTTTTCTACTTAACTTCTGATCTTGGGTAAATTCAAACTAATTTTGGGATATTCGGTTTTCTTACAATATTTCTACCGCCTCATAAAGCACATTGCTAATACATATTCTAAATAATAATTAAACGTTCTTTTACAGTTCGTTCTCTTCGCCGCTTGCGTAGCAGTTGCCAGAGCTGGAGTCGTCAGCTCTCCATTGGCTTACTCCGCACCTTTTGCTGCACCTTTAGCTTATGCTGCACCCGTAGCCCATGTAGCTAAAGTAGCTGCACCACTTGCCAAAGCAGTAATCGCTGAAGACTACGACCACAATCCCCAATACTCTTTCGGTTATGACGTACAAGACAGTTTGACCGGCGATAGCAAAAGCCAAGTTGAAACCAGAAGTGGAAATGTTGTACAAGGTGAGAGAGTATGAAGATATTTTTGAATTAGTTAACTGAATTTTGTTCTGAAGCTATTTGCTTGGAGAATTTTATTGTAATTTACTACTTTTAATGGAAATAGGCCACAATTTTACGTTAAAATAAGTTTATTTGGATGTTTAGATGCTTATTTAGTAATCAAAACACCAAAATAAACTTTTTCAATAGAAAGTATATTTACTGAATATTTTTAATAATAGTCAACTTTTTGTTTATATTACTAGGTTCTTATTCTTTGACTGATCCCGATGGCACCCGTCGTACCGTAGATTACTCTGCCGATGACGTCAACGGTTTCAACGCTGTAGTCCGCAAAGAACCATTGGTAGCCAAAGCCGTAGTAGCCGCCCCAGCAGTAGCTAAACTCGCAGCTCCAGCAGTAGCTTATGCCGCACCTGTAGCTAAACTCGCATCCCCAGCTATTGCTTACCATGCCCATCCTGCTCCTGCTCTCGCCTACTCTGCCCCCTTAGCTAAATATGCTGCTCCATCTTTAGCCTACACTGCTCCAGCAGTAGCCAAATACTCATACGCAGCTCCAGCTCTCTCCTACTCCACATATTCTGCTCCAGCTGTATCTTACGCCGCTCCAGCAGTGTCATACGCTGCTCCAGCTGTTTCCTACTCTGCACCAGCTGCTTTGGCCTACCACGCTGCCCCCGCTCAGTATGCCTACACAAGCAGTTTGGTTCACTAAGTTAATTGTAAATATGTAAATAATTGTCTTTTCAATAAAAAGTGAAAAACACTATGATTTTGTTTAATATATGAATATCTTTATATTCGTCGTAAGCAGTATTGCAGATATAGTAAAAAGTGATAAATTTTAAATGCACTAATTAAAAATGAAAAGCAATATAGATTTTAAGAGTAAAGGGATTTTAAGAGTATAAATACGTAAGGGTCATTAAAACAAATTATAAATTTATAGAAATTAATATTCTATATAATTGATGGATTCGACCGTTACTTGATGGAAATTCATTTTATGTAACAATAAAACACTGAAAACTTTGTTTTCAAACTTAACTGGTGTTATTCAAAAGGAATAACACCAGCTTTCCGAACAAATAATAACCTAGGCAAATATATTAAAAATAACAAGAGCCAAAATAAAAAACACTTAAATAGTGGTGTGTACAAACTTCAATGTGGCGACTGCCCAAAAACTTACATCAGTCAAACTGGTAGAAACTTTAATAAACAAATAGCGGAACATAAAAGGGCTTTCAAGAATAGAAAAACAGATTTGACATACGCAGTTCACCTTCTAGATCATAATCATTCTTTTAATGACAAATTTAAAATTCTTCACATTCAAAATAGGCCTTAAGCTATCTTTGTTAGAATCTATGGAAATCAACAAATTAAAAAACACAGATATAATTCTGAATGACCAACTTGAAACAAACAGTTCTCCCCTCCTCAACCTATTTCATTAGAGACTATAAATTTGTAAACCCAAGCCAAAAATAGATCACTTGAGAAAGGCAATCAGCCGAAACAGCTGTAGTGATAAGATTTAAAATAAATTTTGTGGAAGTTTGAAAACAAAGTTTTTAGTGTTTTATTGTTACAAATATTCTATATTCTTAAATATGAAATCTTTTAGGCTTTTTTGAAGCGAAGCTTCTATATTGGCGTTGTATTCATTTTTTTTCTATAGTAAAATGCTGAGGCAAAAGTTACAAAATTAACGACACAAATAAGTTGGAAGAGTCCATTTCTTCAACAAGGAGAGTTCGTTATAAAACGTGTAAACCTGTTCAATTATATTAAAATCTATAATAAGGATATTAACGAAGAGAAATTTTATTTAAGTTTTTGAATGTACAAAAAAAATAAAAAAAAAAATTAAATTAACTTCACACATATAGCACATTACAGAAAACGCCTTCTCAAAGACGGTATTAAGTGAAATGCGCAGCTAAAGATGTGTAGTTTTAAAAAACATATGGGAATGTGGGGAATATTGACCGCAGGGTAATATCGATCAGTCTCAAATTTCATCTAATTGTCGTCGCAGAGCCAAACATATGCACATATGTTGAACGCATCAACAACAGGTGGTGCACTGGTCACATAGGCACTTAATGTCTAGTAAATTTGTGTTTTGTGAAAGATTTTTATAAAATTCTACAATCGTATTTTAAGACAAGCACTTCTTTATTATCTGAATTTAGCATTTTAGTATTCACAATGCATAAAAACATATTTCTGGAATACAAATCACAAAATCATAAAATTTCAGGTTAAGTCTTTTCCAAAAAAGTTCATGTCAACATTGAACACAATTTAGAATAAAATCGACCTTAGTGTTCGGTTTTATTCCAACGTGATCGATATTACCCTAATTGTGATAGGTCTAAGTTATTATTATTTATTTCAGATGCCACGAACATATCACAGAAAAACAACACGGTTCTCATGGGGTGAAGAGGCGATGAAAAGAGCCCCCAGCGATATAGCTGACGAAATACTTTCGATAAGAGGAGCATCTAAGTTATACAACATCCCTTATGGAACATTGTAAGAACGATTAAGAGGTCGTTTCCAGGCCAAAAGAGTTACACTAACTCTTTAAAGTTCGAGTATTGTCGAGTGCGCTTGGCTACGTGGCTAAAAGAAAAAAATGCATAGTCCCATAGTACTGTAAGAGACATTATTTTTATTGAAAAATACCTTAGATAGTTTTAAATCTTATGATACCTACCAGTAATTAGTACAACAACATTGCAGAAATTGAATGGGTAAGAAATCTATCAACTTTTTCTTAAAAACGACTTATACTCATTTGTTTTGGAGCTCTGTGTTGGAGAATAAAACAAATAAAAAACAAACGTTTATTGATAAAGAAATTACAATTATCAGTTGGCGTCATCTTAGGACATATAAACAGAAATATATGCAGAGGCAGAACATGAAATATAATGGAATCAACTAATTATAGTCAATTTTTTAATAAAAGTATCGATGAAAAGAAAAAATAAATTTCTAGGCAATTACAACTCTAATAAAAACGAATTTAATCTTTAAATTTAAAAAGCTTTACAAATTCCACATCTGTATTTACTGTACACTCACTCCGTCGTTCAGCATGAACAACCTTTCAGCGACGGAGAATTTATTAAACGAACTAATCAGTAGAAATACGATCAAAAGCAAAATAATAAAAACAAATAAAAATGTACAAGAACGATTAAAAAAAGATTTACATAGTAGTAAATATTGTTCGATGTCTCTTGATGAAGCTTTATGCTACAACAAATACTGGACTGGCTATTATTGTCTCGTATTCTAATGGCTTCACAATCAGAGAATAATTAATAAAGTTGAAATCAGTGCCAATAGGTACAGAGAGAAGTGAAATATAAAAGAGCGTTACAAAAATATTAAGTTACTTAAACATTGATATCTCTAAAATTGTACCAGTTACGACAGATGGGAAATATGGTTGAAAATATATAAGGTTTATAAAATTGTTAATTGGACATAATATTAATTGGACATATAGTTGTTCAATTTTATTCCATTATACATCAGAAAGTGTTGTGTTTGAAAGTTAGACTTTCTGAACTAAATTTTCAACTGAAAGTTAAATTATGCTACAATAACGTGACATAGCTGAGATGTGGAAAAGTATTAAAAAGATTTATGGAGTATTTTAAAATTTTATTTTGTATTGGAAATCAAGATCTAATAAACTTTCCGCAGGTTAAGCATCGTATCTGGATCAACAATTTAATATTCTTTACTGAGCTCTCTATTCATAGGAATGAAGTTAATGTACAAGATTTGAGCAAAAATATTGAGAATACCTTGTCTCTTGTAAATAAAAAATAAAAACAAATGTTGTAAATTAAAATAAAAATAAATAATGAAATGTAACACCAACTACATTGATTCCAACTGATTAATAAACAGTGCTAAAATAGTTCCAATAAAAATATTGTTTTGAAGATTAATCAACACCTTTTATATTAAACCATATAAAGATGCACTAAATAACCACCATCAATTATTGGATAAACTGGTCAAAGAGAAAAACAGAAAAATTTTCTGTATAAGATGTAAGAAGCTACAGCTCATACCAATATATTAAAAATTAAGGGCAAATCGTACACTTTCAAACCAAAAACATGTACAGGTAAATTCAAAGCTGTTATGTTTAAATTTCATTTACAATAAAGACATCTAACACTTCTTAGTAATTCAAACTATAATCTTAAATACATAAAAAACAAATAGAAACCAACAAAAACTATAAAATAACAAATAAGACGATAATAATTTCATACAAGCATTTTTTAATAAAAGAAAATATCATGAAAATATTTTTAACGAAATTATAAAATCGTAATTAAATTAAAATTAAACAGCTATTGGAAAAACAAAATCAATTACAAATAAATTTAAAACCAGAGAATGGTTGGCTAGTGAACTCAAAGCAACATAGCACCAAATAAACAATTTTTTTTTAATTTAGTTCCTAACTAATCTTTACCTTAACATACGTCTAACATTATTGCTGGCATGTAAAATGGTGTAGTATACAATAATAACTCAAATATAAATGAAACTAGATGCAAAGGAGTCATCATAATGACAAATTATACTAAAAATGTTACAAAAAAGATGCAGGTCATAAGAAAAGTCAATATAATTATTATTGAAAATAAACTAAAGCTTTCCTGGAACAAAATATACTACTACTACTAAGGATTTACACAGTTTTTACTGTCTTCCTTCACTCAACCGTTTTCTCCAATTTTCCCTGTCATTCCAGTCTCCATCTCGCAGAGTTCTTTTCTTTTCTTCCTCTCTTTCTTCTTCCGATCGGGTTTCATTCTGTAATTTTGTTTATCCAGCGTCCTCTGTCCGCTCTTCTGACGTGGCCGTTCCAGGATAGTCTCTTCTCCTCTATATAGTCGATTATGTCTGATTGCACTCCCATTCTCCGCTTAATCTCTGCGTTTTCAATTCTGTCTCTTTTTGTAAGTCTACAGCTTCTCCTCGGGAACTCCATTTCTACTGCTCTTATTCTACCTCTATTTCTCTTGTTTATTGTCCAGTTTTCGGACCCATATGTCAGGATACTTCTTGTCAGGGTATTATATATTCTCTTTTTTGTCTTTATCGCAATGTTCTTATCTCACAGCACAGAATTTAGTTGTCTTATATAATTTCTTGTTTGTCTTAGTCTGTTGTTTATATCTTCTTCTGTTGTTCCCTGGTTCGATATTATGGTTCCTAAATACTTGAATTTATCTGTTCCATTTACTTGTCTTCCCTCGTCTCTCTCTAGGTTTCTCATATCCTTGTTTTCTGTTGTTAGGTATTCGGTTTTCTCTAAGTTTATTTCCATTCCGTTGTTTTTATATTCTTCTTCTAGTTTTTTGAGCATAAAGCTGAAATCTTCTTCATCTTGTGCGCTGACTACTTGATCGTCGGCAAAACTTAAGGTGTATAGGTATTCGTCTCTTACTTGTATGCCCATTCCTTCGCACTTTCTCCTCCATGGTTTGAGTGTCTTTTCCAAGAATATTTTAAACAGAGTAGGGGACGTAGCACAGCCTTGTTGAAGGCCTATTGTCATCTTAAATGGATTGTAGGCTTTATTTCCACATTTAATAGCTACTTTGTTTTCTTTGTACAGTGCTTTAACTGCTTTTATTAGTGTTTGTCGGATTCCGTGAT